GGGGGGGTGGGGGGTGGCGGGGGCCGGGGGGGGGCCGGTTCCCGTCTATCCGGGATACGGTGGGGATCCAAGGGATACGAAGGATCTAGAGGATACGGCGGATACCTATGAGACACATAAGATAATATTCGATGCAGTCAAAAAATACACATTATATAGGATAAATCAAGGAGGGAAAGCTGAGTTTTTTAGATTTACTCAGTTTTATATCAAATATTTTAAAAAATCTCAAAAACGCTAAATTTCCAATCAAAGGAGATGTGTCAGAGTATGGATTTAGTGTCGCAAAAAATCTGAACCTAATTTTATTATCCTGAGAATCAACATTCATCCCTGATCATTTTTCACATATTTATTGTATGCTTCATAATCACTCATTTTAATATCTGGGTAGGGGTGACACTTTATCTTTACTTTATCGGATAAAGTAAAGTAGCTCAGCTTTGTTTTACCCAGTAAAGTAAAGCTAAACCATGTCCGATTTTTTTATGTACACAAGGAAAATGTTGTTTTCTAACTTTACTTTACTTTACTTTTTTAAAGTAAAATAAAGATAAAGTACTACCCCTATATTTCGAGTCCCGTCAGGCATCGAAAAAAATGAAATTCACCAAAACAACAATTTCAAAATTTAGACACCTCTGATTTTGCCCTCACATGGAATTATAAAAGTTCGGAATTGTGTTTTCGTATACAAAACGGATTTTCTGTGAAGTTCATTTTTTTCAAAATCCCTGAGGGGGAGCTAAGCTGAAAAATTTACACGAAAAAAGAAGTCTTAGAAACAATTTGAAACACACGTAGATCAACTCAATTTTTGTGCTAATTTCAAGTATGGCTTTTTTTCAAGTCAAGCCTAATATCTTCTATTCAAAAGTCATCGTATACTGTCCAAAAGAGTTCTCAAGTATAGTAAATATAGCACAGGTGGCTTACTAGACATTGAATTTGAAGTTGAAAATAGCATCATCAGAAAGAGCAAGTTGAATTACATATTCGATAAACAAATTTTGCTGGCGCATCCGTATAAAGTGAAAGCTCATAAGACCAAAATAATCATTATTTGTAGCAATATGACTCGATCGGGGTGGTATTCGGCGATTATCGCTTCGAAAAAATTCAAATGACCTATTCCTTCATGTAAATTCTGATAGAGGAAAAATCTCTGCGTCGAATGAACCTATTTTTCTGGATAAGATTTAAATGTTGATGGACTTTGAGGTCAAAAACTTGTTTGTAAGGGCTTTCAGAAAGTGATTCAGATGTTCATTTTTGTCCGAGAAACTTTAAAAAAAATGCAATATTTTTAATCACCACATTGAACTCTATCAAACGAGAAGTACTTTCACTAAAACCAAGAGAAGAAATATTTTTCGATCCCTGACGGAGACCTCGGGTATTAAAAAATGAGTGATTATGAAATATAAAATAAACACGCGAAAAATGATCAGGGATGAATGCTGATCCTCAGGATAATAAAATTAGGTCCGAATTTTTTGCGACACTATATCCATAATCTGACACATCTCTTTTTTCAAAACTCTAAATCACTCAAAAAACTCAGTTTTCAGCTTTTCCCGTTTGGGAAAAAAACAGATCCCGGAATCCTCTGCACTCTCAATTTATCGCCTTTAACCTCTGTATCCCTAATGTGTCATCGCTGCATCCCGGATACGAAGATTCCTCATGGATCCCCGTATCCGGGATACGACCAAGATCCGAAGGATACAATGGGGATCCAGAGAATACCGGGATCCGCTTTTTCCCCTTGATTTTGATCATTTGACAACTATATTATATGATGAAGCTTGATCATCGAAAAAAGAATCTCATTGATCATGAACTGATCTCGGTTGAATGTTGAGTGCAATACATATCTTAGTGTAGAAGCGAAACTCTCCTTATTCATCTAGAAACAAGAGTATATAGTTCTGATTGAAACTTTGTCATATAATAATATCACCTGTCTGTACTTTGATTTAGTATCAGTCTCGACACTTTTGATGTGTTTCAAGTATATCCAAAAGAAAGTTTCAACACAAAATATTTGCTCATTTTTCATCTAGTGAAAGACAACTAGTTAGAGGCAGAATCAGAATTTATCGCTATTTCCAAATATATGTTCAAATTTTTCTTCTGAGGTAAGATTGAACACCTATTAGTAAATTTTGTGAAAAAAATCCAAAACTGTGTCTGTACAAAGCACAATAGAGATTTTGGTGTAGTTCTTAAGTTTGTGTCTTGCAATAGCTATTGTAATGCACTGAATTTTGTATAAAATGAGATATTACAATAAGCGAAATCTAATCTATGGGTTTCCACTAATAATCTAATTTCTATAGAAATTGGAATTGATTAAAAGTGTCAGAACAAGTAATCCCAAATGTATGGATGTGGATGTTGATCTTTTGTGTATACTCACCGGCATCCTAATTCACACACCTACAACCATATTCTTCAGTCAACTCAGTTAAAAAATTGTTTTTAAAAATCTTGCATGCATAAGTAAATTAGAAGCTTTGTGTAGCAAGCTTTGCATTAGTACCCTCAACCATTAATAACTGTTTCGCTTATTGAATTTGATTGATTTCAATCGAAATACAAAATTGATCCAAATAATGTTCTGTACGACTACTATTTTGTGAAACACACTCTAAAAGAAGTGTTGACATATATAGATAAAAATTTGGATTCTCTCACCTGCACATTACAGACCGTATATTACATTAATGTCTCGTTATAATATATGAAAGAATTCCTTATTGCATTTCTGGAGTAGCCTAGTGAAGAAATATGTTTCAAAACAAATAGAATAAAACAATTTGTCTATGCAACTATGTCGTGTTTGACAATTTAATTTCATAGAAATTACGCTAGCAGTTTTTTTTTGGATCTTTTGAAATAAAATGATAATAATGTTGTACTCTTACTTCGGAAAGAAAAGATCTAATTCTAACCAGCTGTCTCTAAATGGCTCAAAAACAAGTGAATATTTTATATGTTAAGACTTTCGTGTCATATGTAACTGATATAGATTAAAACTTGAGATTATCTATATTCTTATTGTTCCGCAACTATAATTTAATAAAAACTAATTTCGATTTTTATACAAAAAAAAAACGATAAATCAAGTTTCTCTAAGAGTAAGATTTAATAGAATGGATACATTTGTTGTTGTGGCATCATAAACCAAGGTTGCATATTTGCATTAGGATACATCATTGGATAGAATGGTTGTTGAACTTGAGGAAAAAATTGTCCACCATTAGTCATCATCATATCTTGTTGTGGATATCCTGCCATGTGCTGAAATTGTTGTGCTTGTTGAAATTGATGAAACATATCAGCAGAAGATGGTACAGAATTTTGACGAGAAAGAAATGGTGATGATCTAGATGGTCGTAATAATTCAGGTGGTACAGGTTGTCGACGAAATTTAACTGGAGTACCAGGTGGATGATGATGAAAATGTTGAGGAGAACCATCACGTGCTGACGAATCAAATCTTCGATGACGAGATTTTGATCGACTTCGATTAAATGAAGAAAAATCATCATCGAAATCTTGATTTCTAAGATCTTCTTCACTTCTTACTACTGGTCTACGAAGAAAAGTTGGAACAGGATCATAACCAGATTCTTCTCGAGCCATATCAACTGCACTAAAAAAACTCGCTGGTAATTGACCATAATCAAAATTTGATGGTACAGCTTCATCTCTCATTCGATCTCTATGATTCAATGAACGTAATGCATGATCACTTTTTGATGTATGAATACATATGAATTTTTTAAGTTTTCGAAACATTCTCATTTTAACATCAACAATAACAATGATCGACAAACTTGTTTATTTTCTTTATACTTGTGATAGATAAAAAATCAGTCAAGCAAATCACACAATATGTAGAAGTAACTTACTAATGAATCATTCTTATTTTATTACATATGTAGGTGTTACTATTATTCAACATTATGTTTATCCGAAATGAATCAGTTATAAAATGTTACCCTTTCATATATAGATATCGGTAGTTTTTTTTTTTTTTTATCTTTTGATAGTATTAAATAATTTTGTTTTATGACGCAAAAAAGAAAGTAAACCAAAATGAATCATTAGAAAAACGAAATATTTCTTTTATTATTTCGTCTTATTTGTATTGATTAGATCACTTCTAAGAGAATGTTGATATCGACAATAAAATATGAACAAATATTAGTTTATCGATTCTGAATATATAATAATAAATAGTTGACAATGAAAAAATTATCTCTAATAGATATTGATATAAATTTTTTCGTTATTTCGAATTTAATCTGTCGATTAATATTCAATTTTATCAATAAAAAAAAACACAGTAGTCCTCATATCATGGTTACAATAATAATACAACTTCTACTTCATAAAATCTCTTATAACATGAATTGATTCACAACAAAGCCATGTAAATCAAACAAAATATTGATGAATAACTACAAAAGCATATTAAAAAAAAACCTTTTGCATCTGCTATTGATTAAAAAACGCAATATCTCATAAAAATCAATATTTGTTATAGTACAGTTTATTTGATTGAAAAACATGTGATATCAAACTTGAAATAAAAACCACAAAAGTATAACGAAAAAAATTACATAATTTCTTTTTCTTTACATTAGACCATCAAAACCATTTGATACTACAACACAGGTACACAAACAAAAGAGATTTTTTTTTTTGTACACATTTTCGTTATGAAGCGAATAGACTTTCAGGTTTATAATCTATATATATCAAACTCAATATTTACGCAAAGTCTTGAATTTCTTCTTTTTTTTTTCATTTCTTCAACAAAACTTTGAATAAATATATGTAAACAAAGTAACAATAAGCATTGAAAAAAATTCTCAAAAAAAAATCAATAAAAATTTAAGATGTTATGCAAATATTAATTCAAATTTCTACAGGCGATAAATGTTAAACATTCGTTCCTACATACACACAATTTGTACAAAAAAAACTAAAATGTCTGTCGCCACACAATATAATACTACAAACTTTATTATTCTTGAATATTTTAACGAAATACACTCTAATTAACATTTATTTTCATTCGCATAATAAAAAAAGAGATAGATACCTATCGAAACAATCTCACATATAAATATTCAACTTAAATGTGCATGGTAAGGTAGAAGGGTTAGAAAATTTTTCTCAGTCATGGTCAAAGTCCGTCGAGTACAAAATTTTTCGCTTCAGTCAAACCGTACTTCCATACTCGACTCAAAGATACCAGATAGATTTTTTTTTCTAATTATTTGTATTCAGTGACTAGCGCACCCTGCATATTTCTCAAACGATTAGAGTCCATCCGAACCAAGTTCCAAACTAACGTGACGGGCTATAACTATGAGTCTCATGATAACTTTGATTCAAAAGAGTTAATTGATGCGATAGATTGTATAAATTAATTTCTTTTTCTTGCATCAATTAATGTTTCTTATTAATTGATTTGAATATATCGAAATAAATATAATAAATTTTCAAACTATCACTTTAATTTTTCAACTGATCAAAATTCCAATAATGCAACAGTCGCCATCGTCAAATATTTCTTTTCATGATTCTGTTTATTCATCATCGTCATTGCATTTCTCATCCTGTTCATATTCAAATGAATCATTTTATATTCCATCTCATTCATGTAAATTTCTTATTGTTTTTATTTCATTTAAAAATTTTATTAATTTTTTTTCCTTTTTTTTAGATCCATCATCTTATCCAATTTATCAATCATGCATGAATGGTATTCCTTATCAATCAAATAATGTTTGCTATCTTTCCTCCATTGAAGTAAGTCATCTGATAAGAAATCTTTTTATTTTTAAATATTATTTTCTTTTTAGAATTCTCAAATAAAACATCGACAAGAACAACATTCAAACAGATCATCTTCTTTGATCTTTTCTGTAAGTTTCTTTTTTGTCTTTTTTTTCTCTGTTATCAATATTCTTCTCATGCTTCATTATGCACTATAGGCACGTAAACGAATTAGTGATGAAGCAATCGAACGTCTCAATGCTTTCTATGCAATAAACAAGCGTCCAACAGATGCTGAGAAAGATCATCTAGCTATACAATGTAATATAACATTAGCACAAGTTAGCACATGGTTTAACAATGCGCGTTCACGTCGTGGTCATACACGTACAAAATTAACAGAAAAATTACTTAAAAAACAAATAGATTTATTAAATAATCAAATCATTTTACTTCAACAAGAGCAACAATGTTCTTTTTAATGTATTGATTTTTTATGTACCTTTTTTTTTATACTCGCCCTCTCTTCTTAATAAATGTCATTTTAATAAAAAAAAAAAAAAAAAAAAAGAAGAGAAGTGATCTTTATAAGCAAACAGATTTTATTTGTCATGTGAATTCAGTAGAAGTCCATTTGCATAATTACATAGTCTTGCTAGAATTTACGTTCGTTTAATATATGTATACGTGTTCTTTTTTTGTATACATGTCATCAGAATTATACTGTATCAAGATTAGACAGTCTTGCGATTATGTATGGCTTACAATAATTCATTCTGTTCGCCTTCATCTGATAGTGACAGGTCACCGCATGCCCCAAGCGGTACCAATGCTAGCAACCGTAAATGAGGTGGCTCCCTCCACTTGACTGCATTCTTTTCGCTTCTTTATTTCTTTACACTGTACAATAAACGTTCAGAGAAGAGATTGCCCTATACTCGAACTTTATGTCTAATAACACAGGAGAGAATAAAACATAAAGAAATGTTTCTGTTCTCTTTTTTTTCTTTCTCTCCCTCTCTCTCTCTATCGCTCATTAGTAGTCATACATATAGGGAATAGGGCGAGACCATCATGCTCTTGAACAATAACAATACAGTCGGACACAAACACTAAGATGAACTCATCCTGTTAAGAACGAGTAAGTATACTGATTGTACGTGTGTGATTGATTGACCAAGTATGTTTGTTTATATATGTATATATATATCGTTATGTCAAAAATGCTTCAATTTTAATACCATCAATCTGGAGTAAAATAAATGAAGCGATTTATATTTACTTATTTGATAACCTTCGTTATGATAGCATAGAAACTTTGCTTTAGTTTAGTATAAAAGAAGAAAAAAAATGACTAAAAGAAAGAAGCGTTCAAGGAATAAGTCTTGAGTTGATTCTTTCTTTTTTTTTATGTATATATATATATATATCGTATATACATAAGTATACTTGCATTTCCTCCTTCTTTCTCTTTACCAAGTTAATCATAAAAAGAAAAAAAAAAAAAAAACTGAGTAAAATATGTCGTCACAGATGGTCACAATAGAATTGTATGAGTGTATGTTGAATCACGAAACAATAAAATAAACGAAGAAAAAAAAAAAAGAACTATACGATTTGTATGTCGTTATACAAAGAAAAAGGTGAGCTTATAATACTATCAACGAATAGATCGATTATGATAATCAAACTATCCGTATTGTACTATGTAAGATTCATCAGAAAATTGAAAATAAACAACGGATTGTTTTTTTTTATTGTCTCGTTTATTGAATTTTTCTCTCTCTCTCTCTCTCTCTCTTTCTTTTTTTTTACATCACAGACTGTCTCCTCATTTATTCTCACGTTTGTCATTTTTACAAGCGTATCGTTCAACAGTACCTATTACTTGACATTCTAGATGCTATTTACACATTCACTATCATCCATTATTATTATACATGAACAGGAAGGACGTGCTCACCTATCGAATTCTCTTTTTTTTTCGTCTTTCTATTCATTTCGCGATTCAACGATCAGTAACAATCAATTTCGTATACATTAAATATATATATATATTGCACTTTCATCTTCGAAAAAGGCGTACACAACCTCTTGAAATTATATTCGAGTGGACAAAATCGAGTAAAAAGAAAAAGGCATGAAAATGTAATTTTCAAGATACAAGGACATCAATTTTTTTCAATTTTCTTATAATGAATAAATTTGTTTGGGTGAATAGTTCGATTAGATTTTCTCTTGAAAGCATCCCATCTTAACCTTCATCGTCCAGATGTTTGACGACCTTTATTTTATCAATGATACTTGGATATTTGAAATCTGAGCCAATTCCTTCTACTCTACCTCTCTCTCTCTTTTTTTCTTTTACACTTTTTTTTTTGTTTTGTTTGCATCATAGTCTCTTTCTTTTTCTGTTCGTCATCATCATCATCATCATCATCATCATCATCATCATCTTTGAAAATGTGAAAAGTATGAGTCCATGTCTTTTTCTTTTCGTATATGTATAATGATGTGGTCGATTTTCTTTTCTTTGCGGTTCATAACATCAGGAAAGAAAAGAAGAACAAGAAGAATTGTTCAGTTCGTTTCAATCACTGCGGTCATCTCATATATTAAATGTCAAAGTAGAGAGAAAAAAAAGCAAAAGAGAGAAAGAAAGACAGAGAAAAAAAAAGACGCAGCAGAATTATTACATATCTTATATAGAATATTAATATTAAATTTATATATCAAATGATAACAACATGTTCATTATTCCTATTCACGCCCATCGGATATTCAACTATATTTTGGGTAGTCTGGCCAATAATGATTGAGCCAATCAAAATTTTTTTTTCTTCAAGGTCTATTTTTCTTTTTCTTCTTCTTCTATTTCTCTCGGCAACTTTGACCGGACGGACAATGATGAACGAAAGCATTTTTTTTTCGTTCTATATACACAAAAGGTCGAGGTATATTCATACGAATCGACCAAGGAGGGCATCGTCTATTTGTATTCAATATATTTTTTTTCAACCAAAAAACAAAACTTTTATTTTTCTAGATGTGCAATGATTCAGTCAGATGTACAACATCGATACTTATTGATTCATTGTCTATTTATATTTCTATTAATTACTTTAACTTCTTCACAAATATGTCAAAATGATATTCCGGATTTTTTCTATAATGTAAGTTTTGCTGGCCCTTTATTTGATCAATCTATATATACAATAACAACATCAAATTTTTCTGTCTTATCACCTATTGGTACAACTGTATTTACATTTAATGTTCAACCACGAACTGATTATACTCGACCAAGTTTTGTTTCAACATCAGTTACAGGACGTGCACTTAATATATTACCTGGTATTATAACAGTTTCATCAAGCGATCCAAGTTTTATTGTTAATAATTTATCAAATGGTTCTTATGCCCTTGTTACTAATACATTGTAAGTCATAAACAAGGTTAAATAAGTATATATATATAAAAGAAAACCTAAATCTATCGTTTCTTTTACATAGTCCATTAAATTACTTTTCACCTTATAATCGTTATTTATTTAATCTTATTGCAACACAAACATATACAAATCGACCATTAGTAAGTTCAACAGCAATAGTTCAATTAAATTTAGAAAATTATAATGTTCATGCACCTATATTTATACCAACAAATCAAATATTTTCTATAAGTGAAACAGCAACTATTGGTACACGTTTTGGTACTGTTTACGCAACTGATGCTGATAATGATGGTATTATCTATTCGATAAGTGGTAGTCAATTTTCAATTGATCCTTCAACTGGTGTTTTACAATTACAACAAACATTTCAATCATCACCAGCATCACAATATTTTGTTACTGTTACAGCAAGTGATGATGGTGCATCATGTTTACCAGCACGTTCATCTTGTCCAAGATTTTCAACATCAACAATAATAACAATAAATGTAACAGCTGTTAATAAACGATCACCACAATTTTTAAATCAAATATGTGGTTCAACAGTTACATTTTATGAAAGTAATTTAATTGGAGCTAATATAACAACAATAACGGTATTTGATGATGATCGAGGTGAAAATGGACAAATAACAATATCATTTCCATCGGAACAATCAAGAACAACAGGTAAAATTTTTCTTGGTTTGATGTTTCTGTTTTTTTGAAAGAATTTTTGTTTTAAGTGAGTGGTTTAAGAAATACAGCTTATTCACAATTTTATATTCAACAATTAACACAATCGGGTACAACTCGAACAGCTGTATTACGAACAAATACATCATTTGATTATGATGCACCAGGTAAAACAGATAGATAGATTTTTTGAAAATAACAATTTGAAAAAAAAAAAAAAAACTGTCAATTTTATTTTACTATTGTGAATGATAAATATCGAGAATGAATTGTTGATGATTATTGATGAATAGTAAAATTGTTCAATATAGGCTATAAAGTTACGATGTTTGAGTGTCAACGCTATCAACCATGAATAGGTCATTAACCATTGCTTGTCTCACGTTTTTATTCAGACGAAATTATACTGACTGCGTTTTGATATACATCTACTCTAATAGATGGTTCGCATGAATAAAATGATCTAAATATTGATTAATAGAACTCAGTGTTAAGTTGACTTTATATACAAAGGTGAAAGTAATATTAGTTCTAGATAAAAGATAAGAAAGTAACAAAATTGTTCTCGAATAAGAGCTCTCACTTCAAAATAGCTGATTAAATATTCGTGTTTTTTCAATGAACTTGTGATTGGAGTTAAATTTAATATGAACACATATTAGATGATTTAAAAAATCATATTCATGGTTCAAAGAATAGAATCTGTTGGTTTTAAACTTTCTGATGCCGGACTCAATTGGGTCATATATTTTTCGATCAGGAGTCGTGTCGTAATTTCAACGCAATTTTTCAGTCGGACGAGAGAAGTCTACTAAGTGATTAATCATTTTTAAGTGAAGACTATATGCATCATGTAGACGTTAATGAGCTATAAACACTTCGTAAAGGGCTTCTGTACTCAAGTTATTGCTGCCAAGATATTGCACTCTTATAGAATTTCTTTTAAGTCAATGCGGTGATCTTCTCAGGAATCTTAATGAGAATAGTTTAGTTTCAAATCTTTTGATTGTTCCCATCCTAATATACAAGTATGATACAAGCGTGTCTTGTAGATTATTCATATATACTCGCATATTCAATGTTCTTATTTCAGAAAAGTAGCTTAATAGAAGACTTGACACTTTCACCATAAACGTTTCGTGTTAAAATCTGTCTCTATACAAAGTCTCAAGTCGAAATTTGAAAACTAGTATAAAAAGTGCAGTATCTCCCCAGAAATAAGCTAAGCCTCTGAACTCTTTTCAGGATATTCATAACTGATTAAGGTTCCCATAATACACATCATAGATGAGATCAGTTTAATTCGAAAAACAAAAACAAAACATGAACCGACCCTAACTCTAATGCACATAA